CTTCATCAAGCAACCTGACTGGTATTTTTGAAAAACTTCATGTTTTCTTGGGTGATGCTGCTTTGACGTTTCGTGTCCCACGTTCTCGTCATGCATGTGTCGTGAAGCCAGCATGTGATTTGAAGATGGAGGGTTGCTTGCTCGCCTGCCTGCATGCCTGCTTGATTGCTGCTTGTCTGAATTGTCAGTGTTGCCGAGGATCATCCCGGACAAGACCAACTCGACGTTGACCATCGAGGACTCTGGCATCGGTATGACCAAGAACGAGACTTGGAAATGCACTGAGTTGTAGACAGTTGTGCTACCATGACTAAGTGGGTAGTTCCCAAAATTTGGATCCCATTTCGGTATTCCTAGATATTCGGTGACGTAATAGAAGATACAACCAAAAGGGGCCCATAATTTGGAGAATAGTCTCTACATTCTCTACATTTTAGGCTTTAGGGTTTTGGGCAGATGGCCGGGAAACTTGATGCTGCAAAGCAGGCCCGTTAGCTGACACCAGCGCGGACGATCAGACATGGATGCAGTAATTAGCGCATCAACCCCATACTCCAGGATCGCCGGAGGCCGACATCTCAAAGGAAGAGTGAAGTTCAATAACCCTAAGCTCCAAGCCCCAAGTCTTGGAGCAGAAAGGTGATTGCACTGGGGTCAAAGATCGGCACTCTTTCTTCTGAGATAGCGTGGCTAGGATTGTGCATTTTGGCGTCCGAAAGGGTTCAGGGTTCCTACACCAAACGCTCCAGATATTCGATTCCCAACCACAGATGCTGTCGTGGGAGTTGACTGATTACAGGGATCCATTCCTCCAATCCCCTAGTAATGACCAACTGTTATCATTACTATTACTATTACTATTTCTATTACTATTACTATACACAATTATTATTTCTATTACTATTAGTATTATTATTATCCAGTAGCAAGATCCTGGGTCCGAAGCATCATAGATTTTGCTTGAGGAGCTGATCAACAACTTGGGCACCATTGCCAAGTCCGGCACGAAGGCGTTCATGGAGGCCATGGCCGCAGGCGGGATGCATGAGGCTTAAGTTTTTCGGTGGTTTGAAAAGTAGCGATCTCTTCTAAAGGTCTTTACGATGCCTTTGGTATTGAAGTAGATGATACAGGACGAGGCTGGTGAAATTCAAGCGAGACTTCAAGCTTGTACCCTAGCCTGATACAGGCCAGCTGCAGGCTGCAGGCAGCATGGTCAATTTAAAAGTTGCCAGAAAGTCCTTGAACAATGATATTTCAAGTGATGTGACGAAGCTGCTCGGGCCCAGTGCAGGTGGCGACATCTCCATGATCGGCCAGTTTCTGCGGTGAATTTGAACACAGCTTTTGCTTTTTTAATATCCTTTCGAGCCCTTTGGGGTTTTAGCTGGTTGAAGAGCTGCCAAAACTCGGATAGGTTCGGCGTGGGCTTCTACAGTGCCTACCTTGTCTCGGACAAGGTGCGCGTCGTCAGCAAGCACAACGACGATGAGTGACTTGCCAGGGAAGAGTTGGGCCTGTTTTGAAGCTAAGTCTCATGCCGTCGTCAGCGATCATTACGGCTTTTTGTTGCCCTTGAAACCTGTGACGCTTAGGCAGTACATCTGGGAGTCTGGAGCCGGCGGATCATTCACCGTCCAAAAGGACACCGAGCTTGTGCACGGCGAGATCAAGCGCGGCACCGCGCAAGCAAAAAGGTCATGCGCGATTCGGTTTGTGTCCTTATCCTTCGATCAGTAGAGAAAGTCTTTCATGTTATTGTTCAGGCACCAAGATCATCTGCTACCTCAAGGAGGACCAGTCGGAGTTCCTGGAGGAGCGACGCCTGAAGGACTTGGTCAAGAAGCATTCCGAGTTCATCGGCTTCCCCATTGAGCTGTACGTGGAGAAGTCCAAGGCACGGTGCTTAGAGTAGGGTTTAGGGCTCAGGGTGTACGGGTGTAGAGGGCTTGCATGGGGGTTCCCGTTGCAACGCGTTTGAAAATATAATTCTTGCTGCAGTTCAGGCCCGTACCGTACCCAGCAAAAGAGTCAAGACTGTAATCCAGATAACATTTCCGGCAAGAAGGCCAGTGGCCTCGGGAATACTTCCCCAAGGAAAATTTGGGGGTTATCATAGATACCGTATTTGGGAGTCCTTATAACGAGGACTACAGTATAGTGGGGTCTATACTGGGGTCTCTCTATTTTGGGAACCTCCCATATCCACATATCAGCCCTAAACCTAAACCCTAAATAGTAGTTTCCATTTTAATTTCCATTATCCCTATATAACCGCTATATAACCCAAATCTAACTGGTAGGATATTCCGCGCTGGGTTTCCTGCCATGACTTGAGACCCTAACCCTAGACCCTAAACTCTAAACCCTACACCCTAAACAAAATCCCTAAGCCCTAAACCCTAAACAAAACCCTAAGCCCTAAACCCTAAACCTAGTAGCGCTCGACTGGCGCAGGAGAAAGAGGTGACGGACTCCGAGGAAGAGGAGGAAGAGAAGAAGGATGAGAAGGAAGGCAGAAACATTTTTCTAGGGGTTTAGGGGTTTAGGCGGTTTAGGGTTTGGAGTTTAGGGTTTAGGGTTTAGGGTTTAGGGGATTTCAAACCTTCAAAGGGGGATATACGGTTTAGATAGGGATTATCTTGGGATTATATAGGGGTTATAATGGAGAATCAAATGGAGAAGGACATTGAACATGAAATGGATGATACTGATTAGGGGTAAGGTTTTACCCCTAAGGCAGTCCTGTGTATTGCTGATTGTGGGTTGGTTTTAAGCAAAATATGGCTTAGATCAGTCAGGATATCTTAAACAACACGTGCATGCCACGATAACCCCCCTTTGGGTCACAGGCGACGAGCCAAAGATCGAGGAGGCCTGTCTCAGGGCGCCTGAAGGACTTCCATTTTCTTTTCCATTATTCCCATATGACCCCATGTACCAGTCCCCATATAGCCCTTGTATAAGCCTATAGAAGTTTCCATGATTTCACGATGTTGTGCAGACTTCAAGATGTTCGGTGATTTTGTGTTTACGGCCTAGGGCGCAGCTTGTTGGGGGCTTACGCTTCACGGCATAGAAACCTTTTCCAAGGTCCTGTACTTTTTGACCGGGCTGTCGCTTGAAGACATGTCAGACATGGCTACTTTGGTTGATGAGAGGAGCAGAAGACCCCGAGCTAAATAGTGGCACAGCCAAATTTCCTGCAGGTCGATGAAGAGAAGGAGAAGGAGGAGAAGAAGAAGAAGACCAAGCACCTTGGAACGCAGAGCTTGATGATTGCTATGTAGTGTTTTGGAATGTCACGGCGCTTCCAGCAATGAAAACAGAGCAACGCAGTGATTATTTTATTTTACAGCTTCTCCCTCTGTCCAGCCCAGCCTGTCAATGAAAGTGGAGCGAGTAGCACGGAAAGCGTGGTGATTGCTGCTATTCACGCATTCATTTAACTATGACTCTGGTATACCGTGCTTCAGATACACCTCAAATGGCTGTGCTGCCAGTAAGAGTTCGGGCCCTTGCTCAAACGTGGGCTCACCACCTCCAAGGAAGGTGAAGGAAGTCTCGCACGAGTGGGAGCAGCTCAACAAGAGTCTTTGATGCAGTCCGAGGCGGAGAGCAATACTGTCAGTAAGACTCACCGTGCAAGTAGTTATCGTAGCATACTGGGCAGCAATAAAGTTTGTCAAATTCTTCATTACCCATGGCCAATAACATGTGTGCTCACAAGAAAGAAGCGGTAATGGCAAGGAGAACAACAACATCTGCGGTCAGTGTGTTCGCCTGCACCAAGGAACAAGCCCCTGTGGATGCGAAAGTCTGAGGCCAGAAAGAGAGGGTCTGCATTTCACAGAAGCGGTGTTTCATGGTTTAAGTAGGAGTCATTGGTTTCGAGCGTCCATGGTTTCAGGTCAAGAGTCTAAGGTGTATGGCTTAAGGGGGACGCTTTAAAGGAGAACGAAAGCAGTGTGGACATGCCTGAAATGTGGTGCAGGATGTGACCAACGAGGAGTATGCCTCCTTCTACAAGTCCCTGTCCAACGACTGGGAGGTGGGGCCAAAAGCATTTCGCATGGCGTGACAAGTGCCCGCATTCACATCAGGATTCCTGTTTGTAGGAGTTGGGTGCTGCGCACAGCTTCAGTTGTCTTGAGATTGTAAATGAGTGCTTCCGCCAAGTGGTATCCAGCATATGGAATTCTGCAAGTTGTTCAAGCTTGAGGACCACCTGGCGGTGAAGCACTTCAGCGTGGAGGGTCAGCTGGAGTTCCGTGCGCTGCTGTTTGTGCCGCGCCGGGCACCTTTTGACCTCTTCGAGACTAAGAAGAAGAGGAACAACATCAAGCTCTACGTGCGCAGAGTCTTCATCATGGATGACTGCGAGGTCCGTTCTTTGTGGGTGTTCTAGTTCCAGATTCTAGAGCTACTTGCAAGGGCTATGTCGAGAGAACATAGGACACATGGATGAATGCCAGGAGCTGATGCCCGAGTGGCTCAACTTCGTGAAGGGCGTGGTGGATTCCGAGGATTTGCCTCTGAACATCTCCCGCGAGACCCTTCAGCAGAACAAGATTCTGCGCGTCATCAAGAAGAACCTGGTGAAGAAGTGCCTGGAGATGTTCGCCGAGATTGCGGAGAAGAAGGACGACTACAAGATACTTGGCTCTTGAATTCGTGTGTTTGTATCATGATGGGACTCCAGATTGAACATGCTTGATTTGCCGATGCAGCTTTTGAAAACGGTAGGCTTCCCAACATTGCATCTTTCTTTTTTGCAAGGAAGTTCTATGAGCAGTTCGGCAAGTGCCTCAAGCTGGGCGTGCACGAGGACTCCACCAACCGCACCAAGGTGGCTGAGCTGCTGCGCTACCACACGTCCAAGTCAGGAGACGAGCAGATCAGCCTGAAGGAGTACGTGGACCGCATGAAGGAAGGCCAGAATGACATCTTCTACATCACCGGGGAGAGCATCGCCGCTGTCTCTTCCTCCCCCTTCCTGGAGACCCTTCGCAAGAAGGGTATCGAGGTGCTCTACATGATCGACCCCATCGATGAGTACTCCGTGCAGCAGCTGAAGGAGACTCCAACCCCATGGGATCATATCTGATAGTTATGGGCCCCTCCTAGATCACACCATTTTGATGATGGCGGTTATCAAAAGATGATGCTATTGATGATGATCATGATGATATGGGGACGACCGTTTCTGATTAGGGAATATTAGGCAATCAGGTCCCGATCTGCCAAGCTAACTCAATCTGGATCTAGCACATACGGGAACGAGTCCAACCTCAAACAAGACATTAGTTGTTCCTCTTGGCCACTCATGACAGCATGTCTTTCTCAGTTATGGTTGTTCTACTGCTTGCCATTGTCCTTGTTTTTCTTCAAACGCTTGCAACTGCACTGAGAATCACAGATACCATGCGAGCCCAAACTATCTCCTGACCTCATACTGGAGTTTCTCGTGCACGTCCCTTCAACGCCTAAAGCAGCGTCAATTTTGACAGCCGACCCTGAACCCTGTTCCTGGAACCCTGATTTCTAAATCCAGGCCTTCAATCCAGATCCTAAACTCTATCCTCCAAATTGCACTCTAAGCCCTGAACACTAAACCAACATTTTGACAAATCCCCACGTCTTGCCCCGTACGTGGCAACAGGAGTTCGACGGCAAGAAGCTGAAGAGCACTACCAAGGCATAGATTTTGGGATGAGGGATTGGTGTTTGGGTGTGGAGATTCGATTTGAGGGTTTTGGCATTACACGTAGGGGTTTAGGAGGGCTTTAGGAGGTGAAGCATAAATTTCAGGGGGGGCAGTGCTTGTCTTTTACAAGGGCGAGCTCACTTTCGCGATGAGCTCGGACATGCGTGCCAAGTGTGGACCCAAGCTTCGGGTTCGGCATGGTGGTCCACTTCGCAGGCGCTTCCTTAGGCGAAGGATCGGACGTTGTTGTGGAGTTTGGGGCCCGGGGCGTGATCGACATTGTCGTGACCGTCATCAGAGATGGCTGGGCTGCTTCCTTGCTTTTGAAGCTAGGAACATAGGTGGGCGCAGATATCGATGGGGCAGGCGATTTCGTCACCGCCTGCGAGCTGAAGTCCGGCGGAGCTACAAGAGGCTCCATGGCGTTAGAGGACTTGCTTCGAGAACGAGGTGGCGGTCATCTGTGGGTGATGGCGGTCATGCCAGGCGCTGTGGGAAGCGTGGTGGGCATGATTCTCGTGATGTTCCGATGAGTGGCTATCTTGCTCTTCGTGGTGGAGGGTGGCGATGGCAAAAAGACCGACAATGGCAGGAGCCCAATCACGTCGGCGACCTAGATGCAAAGATTCGCAACCTGCTGGATTCCAAGCCCAGCAACTTGGCTCAGCAGATGAAGTCTCTCGTGGTTAACCATGCACGGGAGGCCAAGCAAGCAGAGAGTGCTGCAAAGGAAGAGTCTCCTGTCAATGACTCTTCTCACTGGAGATGGGCAAGCCGGAAGGGCAAGCAGCAGCATGAGCCGCAGAGGCAGGTATCATGGCATGATTGGACCTCAGGGCCTACTTCCTCAAATGAATCGTGGAATTGGGCGGCTCCCGCCTCCCAAACAAGAAATACCAAGCGCAGATGGGCAAGATGGCAGGAGCAAGATTGGCAGCAGCACTCGTGGATGTTGCGGCCTGACGATTGGCAGCACCTAGACGGGACCCCGGCACAGGTGGCCACCTCCGTTGAAGCTTTGGCCGCCTTTCTTGACTCGGACGAGGATGACAACTGGGTGGTCCAGGTCCAGTCGCAGGAGGATATCCTTTAGGCCTTGGAGATGGCTTGCACTTCTATGGGAGGCTGCGTTACCATAGTTACTACTGGCAAGGCGATGGCTTTCGAGGACTTCCCGCAGGCAGTTCAGGATTTCAAGCCCGGAGTTACGGCATGTAGGGTGCCAGGCAAACTCGGCACCAAACTTCAGACGCGACAAGCTACTCTGCTGACATTTGGGGAATCGCCGCCCAAACTTCGCACCATGCAGTCCAATGTGGTGAAGTTGCCAGCCTACTCGGCCAATTGTGGATGGGTGATTCGGGTCTCGGCTCAGTGGCATTACACCCGTGACGATTGGCAAGCGTTGCAGAAGTATCTTGGAAATCCTTGCGGCGTTGGATCGCGGCATTTGCTCCCGATGCCAAGCAGGACCTGGGAGACACATGGCGCTGGCGGCAGAATGGTAACAGCGTCGTTCAAGGCTATCTTCGTGTGTTTGATGCTAACTTGGCCGCGGTTCTTCTTCAGCACTCCGGGGCGACACGAGGCGGCGTCACCTGGTTTACAGACCCAGTGGGACCTTTGCCCAATGGCTTCTACGGCAACAAGATTATGTGGATCCCATGGCAAAATGATGAGAGTTGGTCTTCGTACTTGGAACGCGTTCACAAGGAATCTTCGAATGGAGTGGCTCTGGGTCGTCGACAGCTTGGAGTTCGACTACGCGAAACCGATGCAAGATGGGTCCCTCCTCCACGTCTTTGGTCAGTACGATGGCTCCCAAGCAACCTTACAGGCTATGACCTCGGCATTCTCCTCAGCGGCATGGGCTTCTGCGAGCTGGAAACCAGCGAGAAGATTGTTCTCAGGCAAGGGGCTGTTTGGACCTTCAAGGCAAAGCGGCAGGACGACTTACAGGTTGTCCAGGGCCGCTTTGATGCTGGCAATGGCGAAGTCGAGGTCCAGGCGATCCTCGAAGCAAAGCGTAGGGGCGGTGACCTACCAACTACGAGGCTGGCAAACGAGCGCAGGGTGAACTTCAACCAGGCGCCTGCTCGCAAGCCGTGGCACGATGAGCAAGGTCCAAGATCCTGGGCAGCTCATGCTCTGGATGAGTTGGAACAACCTGAGGTTGAGGCTGACGAGCGTGCGGACGAGAGCAAGGATGANNGCGACATTCAGACAAATCCTGGTGGAGGAGATTGCCTGTATCATTCCATCGCTCAGGGTCTCGAAGCTGCAGGAGATTTGGGATCCAGCGGAAAGGCCAGATCTCATCGACAACTTCGAGCGTTTGTTTCGGCAGTTTTCAAAGCTGAGAAAGCCAAGTTCACTGAACTTTGGGTCGGCCAGGGCAAGGGCAACAAACAAGACGAGACTGCAGACTTTGACACGCTTCTCCAGAATGCGGCAATGGCAGGCACATGGGCAGGGGCCTTGGAATTGTTGGCGTTTTGCTTGAAATACGATGTCGAGGCTTGGGTTGGATCTCCTAATGGTCAGGTTTATCAGTTTCACGCGGACGGCCGGGACATGGGTGTTTTCCTCTGGTACCGCGACGAGCACTACCAGTTCATCCGTGCAGCTGATCGCCAAGAATGGCTGGAACGGAAGCGTCAGCAGGACGAGGAGGGTGGCTTGCAGATCGTTGCTCTACGTGGAGGCGTTCCTGGTTCAATTTGGCTTTCTGATTTCAGGTCGGCTTCCTCAGCTAAGAGATCGCAAACCAGCTCTGCAGGAGCCTCAGCGAATGGAAAGGCTGGTGCGAAGCTATCGGCCAGGCAAAGTGTCAAGAGACCCGCCAGGGAGGATGGTCCTGCGCTTGATGACTTTGCCTCACCCTCTTCTACCACTTTGTCCTTCAGAGCTCCCGCGGCCTCAGTGGGTCCCAAACTACGTGGGTCTAAGGCGAAGCGGGTTTCACAAGGATCCTGCAAAGCCAAGAAGGCTCAACGTGCCAGTGGTGAGCCGTGGGTTTGCAACCTGTGTGGCTTCTTAGCTGATGGCAACGCCGAACAGATCAAGGGCAAGAAGTCACGACACCTTGCTCAGACGCATCCTGAAGTTCCACGCTCACGTTTTGATCGGCGCAAGATCCCTAGGCGCTCTTCATTGACTGCTCCCAAGTGCACCTCCAGGGGATTCAGCAATCTTGATAAGGCTCTGGTTTCTTTGGGCACGCCTTGGGTTTGTGGTATTTGTGGTTTCTTGGGCCGAGGGCACTCACAGGAAGATCACTCAGGACAAGGAGGCTCACATCGCCAAAATGCACCCTCATGTTCCGAGGGAGAGCGTTGATCATGGTATGATTGGTCCTTGCGGCGGTGTGATCATTGAAGCCCAGCATGGTTTCGGTGCCAAGCCTGGTGAATGGCAATGCGGCTTTTGCGCTAAGGGTCTTCCTACTTGCCACAATTCCATTCGCGAGAGGTCCCTCAAGTATCATCTTGATGAGCATCACAATGGTGCCTCTGTTTCGGACTCCAACAAGGTGCTATTTCATGCGCAAGGGGGATGCGACCATGGCAATCGAGAAGCAGGAGCTGTCACTAATGCTTTATCAGCTGCTCGAAAGCACGCCAGCTCCTTGGCAAAGCTTCGTGAGCTTGGGCATGTGATGCGGCTGGTGTTGCCAGACCCAAGAAGGTTAGGCCGGGCACTTGCCGCGGGGCTACTCCCTTTGCTGAATGTATGCCCGGGGCCCTCGTGATTTCCAACGGGCTATCAGGCATGGGCAATGCAAGGGCAAGGACGTTATATCCAAATTTCTTGGGCATGGGCAACGTGCTTTTATGTGGAAAGTTTCGTCCGCAGCCCGTAGGCGAGCTTTGAGGCAGGCGTGGGCGCTATCCAATGCTGAGGAGGCGGCTATCTCCAAGCGGGCCAAGAATGTGGGCCCTGGGCACTGGGAGCGCTCTCTTCCCGAGGATGGCGACGTCGAACGGCAGCCTGGACCATTGTGGGCGATGACTCTCAATAGCAACGGGGCTGGATCTTCCTATCGCGCCCTGAGTTTGGCCTCTGATGATAGATACGATATCCTGGCCTTGCAAGAGACTCGGATGGGGCCGCGGCAGATGGCGCAATGGATTGCTCTTTGCTCGTTATGGGTACTCTGCGTGGGGAGTGCCTGGCCATGAAGTTGTGAGTGTTAATGGGCAGAGGGCCTTCCATGGTGGAGTTGTGATCGCGGTCAAAGATACTTTGCCTGCTTTTCTTCTGCGTGCTCTGTCCTTGCCAAGTGGGGAGTTTGTTGAGGTCCAGATTAGCGCTACGAGATTTTGTTCGCTATGGCAGCGTCCCAACATCAATGTTGTTGAAGATGGCCTCCACATGCCCCTTGCTGACGCAGGTTGGTCCTTTTCCCCTCATCGCCGTGGGGGACTTCAACTTGGAGCCAGCTGAGAACCCGCTGTTGGGGGACTACAGGGCCGCTTTGCTGGCAGCTTATGAAGATGGGGTCCTGGCACCTACTCGTTGGCGGGCCAGGCGCACTATCGACTACCTCGCTGGCCTGGATGCGTATGGGGCAGGGTTTGATGACCAATCACCGTTCGATGTGCAGTACTCTTGGGCCTTCGCGCTGGAGGAGGTCTTTTCGGACCACAGGCCTATTGGTTTCAATTTGCATCTTCAAGAAGTTCGGGCTCCTCAACGCCTTCTTCAGCCTTGTCGCACTTTTGCTTGTCCGGCCAAGGTGCCGATTGAGGATTGGGAAGCTCAGCTGGCTCTCGAGTATGGGTACTGGGCTGAATTTCCGCACGTATCTTCTCAGGCTGAGGCAGATGACGCCTGGAGATGCTGGTGTGAGCGCATTGAGGGTGCATTTGATCGTGCCGCTCATCATTTTGGCCAACGCAGTGATCCACGTCATCTTAGACCTAAAGGAAGCTCTGCTTTGGTTATCTCTTCCGGTCAGTTGGGTGCCACCTTCCGGCCAGTCTTCAGGT